CTGTGTCTATTAGAATTAGACATTAACTGCCTAATGTTCACACTCAAGTCTGATGCAACTATTGGTGTGTTCTACAGTACATCATGCGGTTTATCAAATCTTAAGCATTTACCTTAATCGGACACGTGATTTATTTGGCCGCCAAGCACTGCCCAGACGCCTAGAGCAGACGTTGAGGGGGACGCATCCAACTGTGTTGAACTAGTCTATTAACATTTTTAAAGAAAACATGTCTATCTGGCATTTGGTGAGACAAAAGTTTCCAGCAACCGAAATTTAGGACATTAAACATGCCTGTTTCCAGTTTGCATCTTGACTAAGCCCATGTCAACGGAATCGTACAGAAACCCTTCTTTTCATTTCAATGCGCGTCTATGAAATGTTAATAGGTATATTGTAATGATCTCATTGGCTGTTCTTTTTTTGGTGGCAAGGTGCTACTATAGTAACCAGCCAAGTTGTTGAATGAGCGTGATAAATCCTTTGTAGTTTGGAAACTATTTATGGGAGATGATCGTTTCTATGCTTGTAACTCACCATGGTAGTGGATGACCTTGCACTTCAGGATTAACCAGTTCTCATCCGGTTGGATACTGTTCTGCAGGTGCGAATCCTCAATGTCCTTAGGATAGACACAAAGTTCCTTACTCACAATTCAATTTCTAGCTGCAATTAGAACCTGCCTCCTGCTTGGTGCGCCAATAAGTGCGAACTGTTTGTTAGTCAGCTAAACAGTATATAAAAGTTAAGGAAATGGTTTAAAGAAATACCGTCGGCAAGAACTAAAATATATATTCACGTGAACGTATATTGCAATCGAGCGACTACCACACTGTTAACACAATCAAGGACAATACAATTACAGCCAACATTCTTAATCGAAACTTATTTATGTTCATGAACAACCATAGGGCACACAAATATTCTTATGTCGCTCAAAGGGAATGGTTCATCGAGGTAATCACGTAGGTATGTGAAAGGTCTAGATTTGATTGACCCATTTTACCCTACGTCCGTTACAAAGCCAGACTTTCCTTGTGCTAGTATAACATCATCTGGCTTAAATGAAGTTATTCTAGTATTCCTAAGCACAATTACTTGTTTCCCTAGGCCTGACTTAACGATTGTTTGAATCGTAGTAGCCGATATGCTGGCTTGAAGCCTAATAGACACATGTTCTCTGCATAAAGCTGCTCGGCTTGGTTACAGCGGAATCACTAAACACTGGCTTCTTAATCTACCTCAAATGAGAATGAGGAAAAGAATCCAAAGCTCAATGTGAACCAACGTCATCGGACAGGTTCTTCAACAAATGCACATCTTAAACTGTTTTCCTGTCAATTACATTGTAGAATTATGGTTCACTTCGTTATTAGTACTATAATAATAATAATAAATTTGCATCATTGTCTATTCTGACTCGTCGTATCGTAAAAATCCGCGATATAATGATCGGCGTTTGTAAAGAACACATCTAAGCTTAAGAAAGAATAGTATATTTAATGTGAGTAAAGACAAGTTATACAGAATGACTACATCTGCAAGACTGAGCCATGTATTCTGATTGAAGTTAATCGAATTAAATATTCACGCCTTCATCATTGTCGACCTTCTCTCCGTGTTAATTCATGGATATCTATTTTCCCAGTTATCTCGTGCTGGTTAGGACCAATGCCAATACAACACCACTTACATTCCTTGAGAAAATTAAGCGACTCAATTCTGAACGATCCCATCGCTCTATTATGTAATCCTGGATGAGCTGACGAATAAGTCGCTAATGCTAAACGCTTAAACGTAAGGTACGAAGGTTATGGTAAACAATGTTAAAAAATTACGAGGCCTAAATACAAGAGAAACAATCGACGCTCTATCGATTTCCATACTAAGGTGAAGTCTAATGTTCGACATTTACACTGAAAGTCGGGAGGAATACTTAGTACATGGCTTGATATAAACTTAGTTATATCCCTAATTACGTATTTGCTTATGTTTCTTAGTCTTTCATGAAAAAAGCTACCAATATATTGACCAATTTCTTTATCATACCTAAGTAAAGCATGTGGATTGGATCTAAAGAGAAAGTCGAGATCATATTAATGCCAAGTGTTCCGAAATTGGAATGGCTTTGATGGTGAGTGTATTGAGTCTACTGACGAAAACTACCATCAATTATCAGTGTGTATTCACCATATGAAAAGGTCGCCTGTCCGTAAGGGCGATGATCCACTACAACACGCCTAACTCAACCTGCACTTCCATTGTTATTAACAGTGTATCTAAAATCTGAACGAGCAGGTGCTCACATAATACAGTTACTAGTTTGATAGCTATGTAGTTGTTGAACATAATAATGGGCAGAACTACGTCTCTCGATTATTTTAGCCCCGAAATGGTATCCGCGGATATTTCCTTGGATTCTGCCGGTTTACTGTTCCCTCCATGGACAGCTATAATGATCACGTCAATAAACCCAGAGACAACGATGCATCCTACTATAGTCCATAAATGTTGACTAGACCTCTTTGAAGTAAAAATCGCATCCAAAATAATGTTCAAATTCAACGTATCTAGATCACAAAAATAGAAATAAGGTTCAACATATATTAGCCGACTGGTTTTCAATCCGAGAAGGTAGTAAAGCTTACTTCTAATGAACTTCGGTTGGATACTTGTGCACGTCCGCACGACACTTCTGATGCTACTAGGTAAGTCAGAAACAAGATCTCAAAGCGCATTCAGAAGGCGATCGGCATCTTAGATGATTCGACGGCCATTGGCCACAAAATTCACCAAAGCCATTTTGACCCGTTCCTTCCTGTTTAAGGAAGTTTGCGAACACAAGCAAACGTCATTACATCCTATAAGAAATGAATGAACGCGTTCACTTTTTTCGCGCACCATTATCATCCAGCGGCCTTTCATTGTTGTGGTTACCGGAGGCTATCACAGTTTACAGATCCTCATTACAATTAAATTCCGCGTTAACTGCTAATAATCCGAAATAGATCACAGATAAAGACAAATACTGTAGATCGTGCTTTCATCAGCAACTTGACTATGTTTTTTCATGAAGGTGGTTCGTATCTTGTTCCACCTTCGGTTGTATGTCGATCTGTGACAACCAAGGACGCTTGGCATGTTCACTGTTGCCCTACGTCTAGGAACAATCTCAAGGATTGTTACTGCACTCATCTTGAAGGACAAACGGGGATATCAGTGATAATGCACACGAACACACACAGCGCACCACTTACTTGCATGTCGCGAGCTATCTGTGATTGCCACCAGGGATGTCCTAACAATCTGGTCAAGTAAACATCATCTCAGGAAATTTCCTGAGTCTCCATATTTAGATATGTTTTAATGAAAAGTGCTCTCATTTTTCATTAAACAGTATGTCGTTTTGTAGAGGTTTATGAAAAAGTAAGTACAGAAGCAGGAATGATCAAACGGGGTACTTTATATATGTTTGCTAATTAATATAGATACATCAGAATCCAGACCATGTGGGAGGACTAATAAAATAGTTATGAAAATCAGGAAAAAAAGCTTAGTGGTCCTCGTAATAAATGATACCCCTTGGATCCAAGCTAGACAGAAGGGATTAACTTCGGGAGAAGTGCTGTTGTACTCCGGCCATCAAGGAGAAATGCTTGGCACACACAAGTACTTGTACTGATAGTGTTCAAAGAAACACAAAAAGTGCTTATAGGGTGGGAATTTCATGAACCTAGGATCATCAAATTATCTTACAAAACAAAGAAGGAGGGGATCACAGTGAATGTTATCCAGTGCTATGCACCTACAAATGATGGCACTGAGGATGATAAAGACCAGTTCATAAGAGGTTCCAGTCGATCATAGAGAAGTGTCCAGGGAACGGCCTGACCATCCTGATGGGAGACCTAAATGCCAAAGTCGGATTGGACGACACCGGATATGAAGACATCATGGGACGACATTGACTAGGAGGAACAAACAAAAATGGTGAGAGATTCGCAAACCTATGTGCCTTCAATAAACTGATCATAGGCGGCACTATATTTCCACATAAACGCATACGCAAAGCCTCATGAACTTCATCGGATCACACTACACAGAACCAAATCTGCATCAACAAGAAGTTCAGGAGGACGATAGGGGATGTGAGAACCAAGAGTGGGGTTGTTATAGCCTCAGATCATCACTCACTGGTCGCCAAGATCAAATCGAAACTCAAGAAACACTGGAGAACGGGGCGGACATCATCACAAAGGTTTATTACGGCTTTTCTTCGGGATACTGACAGACTCAACGAATTCAGGATGGCCCACAGCAAAGGGTTCTAGGCCACAAGAAGCACCATCAAAAGGAATGGCTCACTGTTGATACACTGGATATGATTCAAGAAAGGAGGAATAAGAAGGCAGAAATCAATATATCAGCCGAACAAAAGCAGAGAAAGCTAAGGCATAAACTGAATACGCAAAATACTTCGGATCCGTTGGCCAGATACTACCTACTGTGGGAGAGGAAAAACAAGATTCCATAGGAGGAAGAAGTGCTGGAAGTAGATAGGACACACATTAAGGAAAGCACCCAACTACGTCACAAGGCACGCTCTCACTCGGAATCCTCAAGGCCAAAGGAGAAGAGGAAGACCAAAGAACACATTACGCCGAGAAATGAAGACAGACATGAGAGGAATGAACAACAATTGGATAGAAGTAGAAAGGAAGGCCCAGGATAGAGTGGGTTGGAGAATGCTGGTCGGTGGCATATGCTCCATTGTGAGTAACAGGCGTAAGTAATTAAGTAGTCTCACTGAAAATATATATAAAGTCGAGAACGTAGGTTTGTGACAAATCCCAATAAAACTTACATGAGTAAAATATTGTATCTCAACCACTCAAATTGTGAACACTAACAAAACGAAATAGCAGTTGAACTAGTTCATTGTAAGCTATAATTTATATAACGTACCAAAATAAATAATCGGGCAAAACAAGTATATTTTGGTAAGAGATAACTTTATGGGTTTAAAATATGTATTTGTTTTACAAGATTAGATGGACTATCAGGTTTTAAAAACACAGTATTTCGTGTACATAAATCTATTTGAGCAAGAGCTGATTCAATTTGTTCTTGTACAGATGTATCCTTTTCAATGATTCGACGTGTTGACAATAGCCTATGAAGGTCACGAATCACATCAGATGGAATCCATGGGGGTAATTCGGTGGTACTAGTTTCTGGTAAGAATAAAGAGCGTGCTAAATATGCTGAAGCTTTACGAACTACATTTGATACATCTTGAGATAGATGAAATTCGATCAACAACAAAATCTGTAAGGACAGAATAAAATAGAAATAATAGAAAAAAAACTAGGAGAAACTGTAAAAAACATTTAGTATTTCTTATCTGAATAAACATTCAACGTATTCATGTGACAACCGTCAGCAATTATGGTTACTCATTTCATTTATACATAAAGCTAAAGTAGAGGAATAGAAAAAGTGAATAAGCAAAAATCACGTTTAAACATCATTATTATTCTTGTCTACTCAAAACAAAGAAGAGAAGCAGGTTCGTGGCTAGTGCAGATGATTTTTGACCAGAAAAACTAAGATAAAACGCTAACTTTAATGGCTTTCTGAATGAGAATGCAAACAAATCAGCAGTTCAATCCTTGAACATATGATTAACTCCGGCCATATGCCACCACGAGAATTGTGGTTCAAGATTATCAACATAGTTAAAAGAACTAGCTCGAAAGAGATTTGGACTAGGAATTTGTGCACAGCTGAAACTATATAACAATTTGTCATTTCGAATCAAACCTCTTTGTACAAAAGAGTTAAGTTTAATCCCTTGTTTTTTCATGGTCATAGCTTCCCTCCTAGTTTTACAAATTATAAACATTAATTATTATCTTATTAGTCAATTTCTTTACAATATGGGCAGCTGTCTTTTTCATTTATTATATAGATTATTATTTACTAATACATATGACACCGTTACATAACTTCATTTTTTCGTAACCTTTGATCACTTTTTTAAATGATTCAGCCTCCATTTCATTCAATACTCGGAAACCTTCAGTACCTTTAATTACTTCGAAATAACCCTTTCATCTAAAAACTATTCTACTCAATACTTTACATCATTTTGTAATCTTTGACTACACTAAATTATGCAGGAACACTTAATTTTTATAAACTTTTACACTCGATCCCTAAACACATCTAGGTATCTATGTCCATTCTGTAATATTTTAACAGCTGAAGTTAGACAATAACAGCGTTTGATGCCGGGTCAGTAGTCTAGAGGTTGGGCGTTCGCGCGAGAGTGAGGATCATGGGTTCGAGTCCCGAGTGCGGGATCGTGGATGTGAACTACTGAGGAGCCCCATACTAGGATGGAACGACCGTCCAGTGCTTCCAGGTTTTCTATGGTAGTCTAGCTTCGATCGACTCGTAAATTCAATTGTTAAAATACTACGACCTCCACAAGTTCCCATACTGATAATTTTGCAATATTTCTCTATTTTATTATGGATCACAATATGTAAAAAGTTACTTAGAAATACGACTATACAACTCAAGAAAACGATATCACCGAAACGCCTTCATTTCTCAATAAAATAATTATAAAATATCTCAAGAGTAATAATAACAACTTTTTAAAATGTCAAACTTATTGAAAACAGTCTGTGATAAAATATCAAGAACTTTCATCAAGTTGAGTGTTCCAATGAGGAGATTTGCCACTATAAATCCGAATTAGGATATTGAATCAAAGTTACATTACAGGAAATTAATTATACAGTTGATAGTATCATAATTGTTGTGAGATCTGAAAATCATGTTCATCTGATTTCTGAGGCCGTGTAAGAGCGAAACAGGTGTACATAAACTTATGGTTCATTTAATTTATGTTAGGCTGGTGATTACAATTACCTTCTTAGAGATCGGAAAAACCTACTTACATTCGAATTTTCACCACAGAGCGACGAACTGTTTTAGAATAAACAAAGGACATTTTATGAGAAGAGTACGAATATTAATGAGGATGTCATAGATGAGATAACAGTTATGGTGTAAATGTTGATCTATTCGCATGGTAGGTTGGTATGACACCAAACGACGAGAAGCAAAAATAATTTGAAGTCGAAATTCTATGGGGATTGTGCTATCGATACACTACTTACTTATGAATAGATAGAGGTATTCGCCACATCGAAGAAGTAATACTTTTAAAACTTTCGCTTAAATATCCATCTGTATTCACTTAAAATACTGATCACTCAATGCACAATTTATGAAGTTCTTGTTTCACCTAATTACAAGTAATATTATATGACTGAATATGCAGTTTTAAAATCACTCAAATCATTGACTAGCAAAAATATTTCGATTCATGATAAGCTGATTATCAGAGATAATAAGATAGAAACCACTCACTCACCTCATAAATGATTGGTTGAACAGAATATTTTAACAATCGAACAAGCTCAGCAATATTTGAAAGACAAGCTGCTCGTATTAACTCTTCAGATGACTTGGATCCCATGACAAAAGAGTTAAACACCTCTGTTCGATACTTTGGTGCCATTTCACCTTAAAATATCAATACAAAAATTAATTTCTTTTTGTGAAGATTTAGCCCGAGACATATTTAATGCATTAAAGTTTATATGATGAATGGAAGACAAAAACATAGAAACACTATAGTTTGATAAAATTCTGTCTTGGTTCAAATTCCAACAAGACAGTTGTGTTGAAAATTATCAAAGATAATAATTTGTAAAACACACACATAAACAAAGTTAAATTTATTCAAAGAAAAACAAAACAATTAACCTATAATTTATAATGAATTATTTTCGTAAATAACAATAAAAAGATTACCTAAATTCGACAAAACACGCATTATAGATTCAGCTAATTTCAATTTATATTCAATATCATAATCGCCAGCAGTACTAGTGACAGTGATACCAATAGGATTTGCTGGTTTATTGGTAGTCTGCATACACTTAGTGAATTGATTTAACAGTAGATTTAATACTTTGTCCGTTAATATACAGCCCATAGCTGATAGGCATCGAATCGCATTCAAATAAATATAACTATCTGTATGTGACAAATATTTAGTTAAAACCTAGATTAACAAAATATTTGAAAAAAATAAACGGTAGAAAATTGGGAATCACATCAAGCAAAAAAAATCAAATGTAAGGATTGTACGTCATTATAATTATTGTACGTCATTATTTATATTTTTTATGATGATCAAGATGTTCTCATCGTAGGTTAGCTTCAAGATGAATGACTTTAACAACCAAAAAAGGGCTCTGATCGAATTACCTTGGCGATTACAATACCAAAGGCTATAGACTTAATGATCCAATCAGTAAACACCTCCCTAATTCATTTAATTACCAGAATTACATGTCAGTATGTAATGAATTATGAAAACAGTAACCAAATAACCGCAATAATATCTGTAATTTATGTATGAATAAACAAAGTGAAGCATTAAAATTACCTATGAGAAATTATTATAGGTAAAGAAAAGAGATACAGACCACTTAGTTGTGACTTAAAAACCGAATGTTAGTGCGTAACTGAGTTTATTTACGAAATAACATAAAATTTATTGCAAGAACAATTGAGTTAACTGTTTGATCCTGTTTTATTTAGTTATTTAGAGCAATTGGAATAATTTATAATCTTGTAATCAACAGCAGTACACTAAACGGTGCTAAAAATCACAAATAACTAAATCAGTTTATTACCAAGTCTAACATGATAAATCGAAAATAGTAAAGTTTTAGTAGTATGTGTATACACACATATGTGTGAGTGCACAAACAAGAGGGAGATTTAAAATTGGACAGATAGTTTTAAAGGTACGCAATAATAAATGCCGAGGTTGAGTTATTAAAACCACTCGATTTGCGACTAACGGATTAGAGTCCTCCTCCATTTAATTAGGTTCAGATACTTGAGTAGTACAGTTTCATGAAAGAGGATTTGAGAAAGGTTGAACTGTCAGAACTAGCCTAAGGAAAAATATTATTTATATCTTCACTGCGTAATTGTGAGCCGCTCGGATCGTTGTGTTTTTGTATTTTCGTACTGTAAGCTTTCATCCTACTACTCTAGATATTTGCTTAGTTTTAGTATCACTCATGACTGAGTTGCATATATACTGTAATTTCTTGTTTCCTTTGCTGTGCACTCAGGTAATTGAGGTAGATTATTGTATCAGTTTTGACTGATAGGTGAATAAAGTACAGTAAAGGATCCATCGACTTGCTGTCTTCGTCTTCCGATCACAAGGTGCGCATGGCGGTGTGTACTACTTGTACGGACAGATATAAGCAGTATTTATCAGTCATTGAGAGTAGACTTCTAACGGATAGGAGAGGAAACTGAAGAGAAAGGGAACCAGGGAGTAATCGAAATAAAAACAGGAATGAAAAAACAACGGAGTTTGTAAGGGACAACTCGCGGAAGATCGGCAAATAATATACTTAGTGTATTGTTTTCATATTTCACAAATGCAGTGTGTGATTTCGCATAATACAATAAATCAGCTTGCTACTCAGAACTTCATTCATTACACTGTAACTGTTTACGATAACTGAGCCATTGGTTAAGAGAAGTTTGTTGTGTTATTAGACACAAAGGTTACTAATCTTAAGGGAAATATGGGCGAATAAATCGATAGTCTGACTGAGCAATACAACAGCTCCCATAACAAATGGCGTAATTATACAGGTAAACACTAAAATCCAAGAACACGTTCGTCTTGAAGGTACAACAAGCACTATCGAACCCCACAAAACTAATGTGGTTCAGAGTTGGTAAATCGAACCAAATTTAAAATAACTGTAGAAAAGATGCTCTATACAAACCGAAAGATTACGACATGATTTATCGATAGAATTTCTAGAATAATGTCACATAGTAATGAAATTCAAAATCATCATTTTGTCTTAAAGTAATAAGGGTCTTCAGAATTTAAATTCGGGATTTTAGAAAACCACTTTCGTTTCAAAAGATTGTATCACCTGAAAGCTCTTTATTTCACCCGAGGACTTTGTATAAGTGGTTAGTGTAGCTACATCAAACGATAAAGATGAAGTTTAAAGAAACTCACTTCAAATATGAGTTTTTCATGGCCCCAAATACATGAATCTCTGGATTCCAACAATCGACTAAGTACAATCAATGCATGACCTTGGACAGGAATCAAAGGATCATGTAATTCTTCGAAAATCTTTTTCAAAGTTGGATCCTCTAGCTGACTGCAAACAGATTGCTGCACATTCTGGGGGTTGGAGATAGTAACTTCTTCGATAATTTTTGGAGGACATTCTGATTGATGGGTTTCAGCTTTTGCTTTGTCAAAATTACATCTAAGGTGAATAAAAAAATTCAATGTTTTACAGTAAACTTTTAACTAAAACTTAAAAATTTTACTGATTTTATTAAGGCAGCACATGACTAAATTCAGTTGTGAGACTAAGTGACCAATCAAATGAGAACATTCAAGTTACCAACAGTTCTTATCCCAAGACAACAGAAACTTGATAACTATCAAAGTTCCACAGTAGATAAAATTACATAGTTGTCTTTTCGAATACACAGTGGTAATTATATAGAAGCGCCATGGATTTACTACGTAAGAGAAGATTTTCAGTTTAATCAAATTCGGCTGTGTTCGAATTGCTTTCATGTATTATACAAGCTTAATAGCCCTTGAAGCCAAAAGCCATTATTTAGAACCTAAACATACATTTCAATAGAATAAACTTTAATGAACTAAACATCACTGACAAATACGAGGCTCGTTTTCACTAACACCTGACACTAAACAAAGCTTATCTTCAAGTAGACATACGTGTGCATACTGAAAGAAATAAATCTACCAAGTTAAATTAAACCAGTTAATACTACATTTTACTGCAATCAAGTATGAAAAACAGGTTCATAAAAATTTTCATGACGTTTAACCCATAATTTGGAAGTGACAATAGCCAACCCTGTTATATCCGGTGAAGATTAAACTACAGGTAAATTCCAAGGACTATTCATGGACTAATATTCTATAAATATTCTTATTGTATAACTACTCAACAATTACACTATGGATATTTATATTCCTTTTATGATAAGCTTTGTTTTGACCTATAATTTATTATTGTACGATTTACGGTTCTTAAGTTATGTTCAGTTTATTAACTACTGCCTCCCACATTCACAGCCACTTCTTGGGCTTATTTGTGTACAAATATTATTTCCTATTTTATGGTACGTTGCGGTCTGTGTGATTGATATATAAACCAAGTATGCATGAAATAAACGATTCGATTCATATTCGGAAGCTGGTATTGTGTTCTGTACTCAAATGGAAGGGCTCGTAGGACATAGGACCAATAAGGACGCTAAACTGCCCACACCGTTGAACGTCATTGGTTGGCCTAGTGTGAAGATTCGTATAAGTCGTACTCGGATTGGTAGATAAGTCGTGTGATAGAAAGACCAGACATCCAAGGTCATAACAAACCCTTAAAACTCTTTCTTGTCATTATGCCCACAGTTTAACTAGTTCATGAAACATGTGGGGATCTCCAGCACTGGAGTATTACAAGTGTAACATTTTATTATCTTTACTAGAATACAAAGAATAAGACGATAGTACAACCTTATTGATGGATTAAGAAATATCATTTGATTTTACACCTTCCATTGTTAGAAAGTCAATCAAGAGTAAGACTATTGATTGATCCAGTATGATAATCATTCACTTAGACATTTGATTGAATTCGGTAAAATTCTGTTATCAAATATTTCATGATATTCTGACAATTATTTCACTCAGTTTTAATGTGTACAGAATGAGATTTGTTAAGTTCATAATTACTTACGCCAGTTACCCCTCGTGGATCATAGGCTGCCGACCAGGACTTTCTAACGTAATCTTTCCTGGACTTAGGTCATAGTTATTTAAATATAATAAATAATCACTGAAAAGGGTATATGTATATAAAATATCTTTTTCAAAAAAGATCTATTCTTTCTAACCTATGCTTTTTTTCCTTAATAGTTGAAAGTTGAGTTAAAAGCATCAGTGACATGGTGTTGAAGGATAATCGCGGGTGTTCACCATCTCCTTAACATCACCAATCGCGTATCAAGATTCAAGTTACAACATCGGAACCAAATTCCCTGACTGAAGATAAACACATCACTGTAACACAATCTACGTTTTATAAATATTTCAGTCCATATAAAGACCAATCATTATTGTTTCCAAAAACGGAACATCTCAAGAGGTAATTTTAATTAGAATAGAACAATCAAGATTTCATCATTATCGTTAGGAAGTGAGACTGAAGTGTGAAACTGTCATGTAAGTAATAAATTTGAGAAATCATCTAAATAAATAAGTAAATATCATTTTTCGCTACAACTTATAATGAATACAATCGTAAAGTTCTTCCAATAACTGAAATTTGGACGGAAAGCCTATCAATATGACTTTAAACAGGTTCTTAATAGTGATTCTATTAGAATACTGAAACTCACTTGGTAAAATACAAATTATTTACAGACGTAGTTGAAAAAGAATCATGACAAAGAATAGCTCCACGTGTGGCTAATGTAACTTTAATGCATTTTAGAAGATTTAAAGTTGAATTGCCCATTGAGTGTGATATAGAGTTGATAACAAGTTCCAACTTATTTAAAATTGGCAATAAACGACTGAATTCATCTCGAGCAGTTATTATTTCATTATCTCTAGTAGACTATGTTTAAAAAGCATATACAAGAAATTAAAAATTTCTGAAGTCAATAAACAAAGGTGTGCAAAATATCGAATTAAAATATTAGCGATAAGAATTTAACAACATAAATATATATCATAGAAAAAGTACAGTTAGTAAGGTAATCGATATTACGTAAATAGTTCTCTGAATATTTACCACGATTATTAGTTTATTGAAGTACGATATCTCTGAATTACTACATGGAATACCTTAAGAATAAGTAATTCATGTATATGGGTGATATTTAACAACACTTTTCATTTTAATTGAGATTTATAAGGATATTCAAATGCAGCTGTGAATGTCGTTAAAGAACTCAATTTTCAATCAACGAATGATAGTTTTGAAATAAAACCAGTTTTATTCAGTACAGAGATTTGTATATTATCACTAAGCTTCATACAGTATGACTCAAAAACAAGTATATAGATCTGTAATTAGAAAAACGAGCTGAAATGTGTAAGCATATTTAAGTGAAGTTAGAGACCCTGAATGACATGGCTCAAAATCGTTTGCAATGGCGCAGGTGCATCCACTCTCTGTGTTCTCCCAAATTCTAATCTTCTGAATTCTTCATGTCCCTTTTTTCCTCTTTCCAAATTTCTTTCACTGGATTATACTCTTTAAATAACATCTCCAAACCCTAATCTTCCCGATTACTGCTTATACTCTTATTACCTCTACCACTACGGGATTTGAATCGACAAGTGCATCTCTGTGCTAATGTGGTGTGGCAACTCGAACTGATGTACGTACTTACGAAGTTCTACGTTGTTACTGACTGACTGAAGTTTACAACATGGATGATAAGTGCATGTAATTGGTCATGAAATGGCTTTCATTTCTAAAGGATGTGGTATGAATTATTGGTGGCTCAGTTTCCGAAGGTGTGGCTTGAGGCCTATTAAATATCACGTGATTTATTCACCAACCAAAATACGACTTATACAATCTTAGCACGGTACCAAACCAATGACGTTCGATCGGTATGAACAGCATAGCATCCTTATTGATACCCTGTCTTCCCAGCCAGTCCAGTTGAGTCTAAAACACCAATACCAGATTCCACTAAGCGAATCATTTATTTCAAACATACTTGGTTTATATACCAGCCAATCAGGCCATATCACACCATAAACTAGGAAATAACATTTGTACAAGATCAAGCCAAAAAGTGGCTATGATTGTGGAACACTGTAAATAACAGACTAGGCATAATTCAAGAACCGTAAATCGTATAATAATAATCTATGTGTCAAAATGAAGCTTATAACAGGAGTAATATACATATACATAATCTAGTTACTGAACTGTTACACAATTGGAATATATATAATATTAGTCCAGTAAGAGTTGTCAGAAGTTACCCGTAATTTAATCTTCACTAGGATATAACAGAAGAGGTATATATATATATATATATATATATATATATATATATATATATATATATATATATATATATATATATATGATCACGCAAATAATTTAGTTTAGCCAAAAGACTTCCTTTCTGATCCCCCGTCTTTTTTCTTGAAAAGCCGGTTGGGGCTGTGTACAAGAAGAGTGAACATTGCACGTCAAAGTGATTAATCTTACAAATCAGGCGGAAAAAATTTATTGCCATATGAACTGTGTGTAATAGACTTAATACGAGCATAAAATCTAAATAACAGAAATACATACCCCAAGTTTATTAGCATAAAAGGCTAAGATCCCTAGCAATTGACTTAACATTTGATATAAAAACTCCACATGTTCATGATTTTCAGCATGTTGAAGTAAACAACAGAAACGATGGAACAATGCCTAAAATATATGAACACAAAAGAAATACAAATAAATACCGAAGGCGTTTACATGAAATAATAATTATAAAACTTCCATATCAGTAAACTGATTGTAACACAATCTAGTTTCCGTGTAATAATTATTCAAAAGAATTATAATTACTGGGTGATTACATAACTAAGAGAAGGATCAAACCGTATATGTTTGTTATAACTTGTGGCCTGTGTGCCATGCGAATGTATACGTAATGATACCGCCAATTAGAGAGCAGTGAATTATCGATCGGACCAATGACGCATAAATCCCGTACGAGCAGTCTAGAGTCCTGATTGGTCCTGCTTCGTGTCTAGCCCAGCCAGTTAAGTCCAGAACACCAATCTCAGCCTCGGCAATATGAATCATTTATTTCAAGCATACTGGGTTTATATACCAATCAAACAGACAACACCGTACTATAAAATAAGAAACAACATTTGTACAAGATTTGGCCAAATGTGGCTGCGAGTGTGGGAGGTAGTAATTAATAGACAGGGCATAATTCAAGAATGGTAAATCGTATAATAATAGTTCATAGGTCAATATAAAGCTCATAATAAGAGACATGAATATGAACAGCTTATTTATTTAACAATTATACGATAAAAGTATACGCATAGTATTGGCCCATAAATGGATCCCAAAAGTTACCATTCATTATGCTTATCGGGATACAACAATGTTCATGTACCTTCTATTCACAATTAGTTGAACGACGTTCTGGAATGGATGTAAGTAATGGTGGCGTGAATTCGTTGCCTGGAGAAAAACTGCTCGACCTTGAGTATGTGAATGACATTGTCCAACTGCGCTATGATATCTAAGTGATATGATGGAAAGAAAAGTCAATTTTCGATTGATTTACTCATTATGAATTTTGTTCAAGGTTACTTCTGTTTGATTCAATGTAGTATTTGTTTTCTTTTCTCGTATGACATTTTGTTCTGTATAATATGCGATATTCTTGTATTCCATTGACATGAACTATGCTCAGTATGTGATTTGTTATAACTCTAAGTATTTTTCATATATGTGATTTCATCCTAATTATTAATCAAAATGGGTGTACAATCAATATATAAATGAGTGTATTTTCTGCTAGAGTCGTCGTCGTCATAGTGTTTTGGGGTTAATAAATCATCACTTATGCCAGTCTTTGTGTTCTTACTTTCGCGTCGTGGGAATTGCAGAAGTACCTCGTTCCGAGTATGAGTGATAAGCGTTTCCGACATAACAATCAGCGACGACCAAACACAAAAAGTAGCATTAAAAGAGCCAAGACAATAAGTATTCAAACGACAAGTTATAACACCAAGCCATGCAATCCGCACTTAATCAGTTGGTAGTCAGTGTCCGTAGGTACGACACGTGCTTTGCACCTTCCAAGTGCAAAGAACTTTTACAAGACTAGCGGGACCCTGGACCTGAACTCTGGGTAGCTGCACATGTGCTGGTGGTGGAGTGAGTGATGATATCAATTCACGTATAATGAAAGCCAGAGCGGCTTATGACGACCGAGGCCATCTTTGGTACCTTCGTGATATTAGTTTAGCTGCAAAAGACCGGATCTAAAACGCGTCGGTAAGAGCAGTTTTGCTCTATGCTTGTGAAACATTACCTCTTCGAGTTGAGGATATTAAACGGTTCTCTGCATTTAATCACTATCGCCTCCGAAGGATTGCCAACAATATGTTCGTAATGTAGAGAGTTCAGAACGTGCGCTCAGACACAGTGATGATAATTCAACTGGTGCCACCATATTAAAACCCCAACTTCAGTGGCTTAGACATGTCTTACGAATGTCGTTCCAGAAAATCCCATGTCGTGCATTATTTACCGATGTCGGGACAGGTCGCGAAAAGCGGAAATGTGGTCAATGTATGACATGATGTCGTGGTATGAAAGCTATACACGAATGGCCTTTGTTGGTCATTCATAACTCTATGGTTGGGGTCGTAGAGGTGGTACAACACAATGGCTAGAGACGTTATCAGACATGACCCAGAATAGAAGCAAGTGGTGATCCTGCTGTAACATTCGTCATAAAAGTGAACGTAATTTCTTTGATTGAAACAATTCTCTCTGGTTGTATTTTTGCTAACTGAACTGTTTCATTCTCATACACTAATTTCTGTTCATTGTTGTTCATTTTTATTATACGCACTTTACACTTTTTATCTCTTTACAACCTTCTTGTTGTGTGGTGCATTTATATTTGGCGCCTCCTTGTACCAATGTTTGTGTTCAAATAAATAAACTGTCTACGATAAAAAGCTATCCATTACAAACAGATTGAATGAAAAAACAGGTGTGGAAATAAAGACGTTTGTTTAAATTTTATAATAATACAAGTTATTAGACCTGTCATCAATATTAATTTTAAGTTGTTACCACCAAACTACAGGTTGATAATAATAAATAATACATCCTATACAGATAGACAGTCCCATTATTATATTGAAAGAGACTACAAAATACAATCAATAAGGCTGGAGTTTTAGTTACTAATTGGCAAATTTCTATGCAGTAGAAGGTAAATTAGATTTAATTTCTATGTAATTAATCACTTTCTATGATGTTTAAAAGTGGACAAAATAAAATGTGATAGGTATTTAAGAGATTAAACCAAAGAAGAATATTCAGATAATTTATCAAATTCTCTTAATATACTCTGTAATAATATACCTAAAACTGTTCTTTTACAAATAGTTTAAAAGAAATATATTATTAAACACTTCAAATTACCTCAAATAAATTACAAGCTTGATTGATATCTTGAGGCCAAATTAAATCATCTAAACTTTCAATCATAGCAGAAGTAATCAATGAAGAAACAGTTCCAATCTCAATAATGTCTTTTTCATTCTGTGGTATAAGAGCTTCATTCATTGATTCAAAAATGGCTTGGAAAGTGTAATGTAAATCCTAAAGCATAAAATTAAGTAGATAATTCAACAAAACATTAATAACAGTTAGCGAAATATGGCTTAGCTCACCTCTTAATGTAAAATTTCGACTGAATATGGAGACCAGTCTGATGAAGTTAGAATAAATCATATTAAGCCAAAAGACTACTACTATTACATCATCAGCTAGATACACAAATTAGAAAGCCAATAGACTTGTAAGCACAAGGGAATTGATACCTTATATGTTGGCAACAAATGATGTGGTCTCGATTATCAGAAGTATTGAGCTTCTTATTCATGTTACAGATAAACTACTATTCGTAGTGAGTGAGCCAATTACAACGTCGAACACCTGGTATGTATGTACATCGGTTCAAGTTGTCACGCACGATAATCACAGAGATGAAGTTGTCATTACAAATCCCAGAATAGTAGAGGTAATAAGTGTCAGTGGTAATTGGAAAGATTAGTCATCAACGATATGATTTGAAAAGAAAATACAAATTCGTGGTATAAAAACAAAAAAAGTTATGAGGAATTTAGAATCTCAGGATTCGAGAAGAGAAATAATAGATGCACCTGAGCTAACGCATACGATTTCGAGCCATGTCATTCAAACTTTCAAACCAGTAATTACGACAATCACGCGGACCCCAACCAGGTAGCCCATCAACATAGCTCAGTCGAATTGTCAGCGACCTTATGGGCTGATGCCATGTTTTGATTTGGACGACCCTAACTTTCTTTCGGCTTACTCCTGAACCAAGAAATATTCTTTCGAGGTAGGCGGTGGTTGGGTATACATAACACATGTCCAAACCACTTCAGCTGATGAAGATTTATTACCTCGCCAATCTATTTCCCATCTTCACCTAGTACTCTATTCCTAATCCAGGTATTACTTACTTGTGATCCCGAAGTAAACGAACAATAATTCGTAAACACCTATGGCTGAATACCAGTAACCTACAAATATCCTCTATTCATAATGACCATGTTTCACATCCATAAAGTAGAACGAAGCGAACTGCTGTCCAGTAAACAACTAAGAGAACAGGAAATAGAGGCTACAACCCCTGTGAATATCATTAACGAATTATTACCAAAATGTACTATGAACGTAAACTTCAGATTCAATGGCTAAATATACAGACAAATATACAGACTTGATGGAAGCAATGAACAGCCGTTTGGTCGTAGTATGGGACACCTCAGCAGTGAGCATCCACGGCCGCGCACACGGAACTCCAACCCTGAACCCTCTGTCTCGCGTGAGAACGCTTAACCTCTAGGCTACAGAGCTGGCGTTCAACGGTGTTAATATCTAACTTCAACTAATCCACAGTATCGTGCGACCACTTTTTATTGTTTTCAGTGGGTAACTACCTCACATCTGACAAGGTTAAACTAAACGATGGTCTAACATTGATCGATTCGTGATTTCAATGCAATTAACGATTTTATTCTATTTTACAATCCTAGAGTCACACACTATAATCGCCTAAAAGCTTGCCACTCTTGGGACTATTAATTTGGATATATAATTGTAGAACCTGAATAGAATTTATTGAAAACGATATGATGGGAATTTTTCAAGGAAGAGGAAATCCGTTTCCAGAAGGCGTTTACTACTAATACTTGAATATATGGCGGTTGCATCGAAATAGAAGAGCCTTAGATAGTGGATACGGTGTTCGTTACCGCCATATTTCGTGTCATTCATACAATCAATTGCATGATGCTAATAGAAACAAAGATAAAGTTGTGGAAACCGAAAACTTTCGTAAATACCCATAGATTTAATTGACTACGTAGAACATCTAGATAAGAAGAACGGCCAGACAAGTGTAGCGTTACTTTCTCCAGCATTATATAGCATGATAACGTGAAGATAACTAAATTTAATTGTCACACAAAAGCATCTACCATTATACAGTCCCAGTGAGAAGTTCTAGGTTTCCATGGTCAAACACAGAAAAGACAAAACTGACCAAACGTTTCCAACCAAGTACCAGCACAAAAAAAATACTGACTTGATTTTTAACAATAATCTTGCCTTTTGTAGAGACGATGAATGCCCTTTTACAAAAGATCAGTCTTTCTCTTTGTATTGTGTACGTGTGTTATTCCGAATATTGTCAGATTCTGCTAGGATCGTTTACACACTAAAGTTAGTGTTCGGTTATTGCAACAGAGAATCAAAAGTAACATTATTTTATTTGAAGGTGATATTTTTGGAACATTTGAATTATGAATGTACGGCTACCAGATCATTGAATATCAACTGAGTTTTAAATAAGAAAGATTAGTTCAGCGAAGAGTTCTCTTTTCGGCGAATTCATTTTCAAAGCTGTAAAATCGCAAATATATATACTTATTTTTACAGGATGATAATAATACTGATAATAAACTTGTTATCATCCTGTAAAAATAAGTATATATATTTGCGATTGTATAGCTTTGAAAATGAATTCGCCGAAAAGAGAACTCTTCGCTGAACTAATCTTTCTTATTTAATGTCTTGATGGGTGTATTCCGTTTATTAAAAAGTTGAGTTTTACTTTTTAATAGAGTGATGCTGAAAGTGTGTTTTATAATAAATTAAACAATATTCAGTAGAACTTACTGTCAATAAACTCAGAAAAAGATCTGCATGAGTAGTGATCTCATTAATTTGATTTTTCTCACTTTGTTTTTCATCTATCAGAATATGCAAATGATGTCCAACTTGTTTATTAGAAGAATTATTTTGAAATGAAGATGGACTCATAAAAAATAGCAATGTGACAAGACTTTTGATACTGGAAGAGAAATTCTGTATCCCATTAACAGTAGGTAATTTCTCGTTTATTATGACACAAGTATATGGTACATAGACTGAATTATGTTTTCTCATTGTAATTTCATCCAGAGATGTGGATGAAGATTCCATAGGTTGAACTTTGGATAATAATCTAAACATTAGATTTTCTTGACATGAATAAGCTGAAAGCCAATCAGTAGTGCTACTCATAATTGACACTTCATGTTGTAGTTCTGATGGCATAAATTTCAAGGATGGAGCAGGTAGATTAAACCAACTACGTATTAATGACAAACGATTGAAACGGGAATTCAAATCGGAAGATAACAGACGATTAAGAATCCAGATTAAGCATTCTCTAAAAACGAAAAGTATAGTAACTTGGTTAATGGTAAAAATTTAATTTCAGTTTCGTAATAATATTGTATCGACGGGAAAGTTCACAATATACAAAATGAAGCAAGCTAAGATAATCAACTAACTTGAGTGAAGTAAAGCTTTCTGAATCATTAACGTTATCTTCATCTTCAATTGTTTGTGCGAACAATATAAATAATGGTCTAGACAATTTACATAATTCTGTTATAACAATTTGAGATGGCTCAGGACAATCCAACAGCTAACAGTTTAATAAATTGAGAAAAAAATAAAAATAAAGTTGGTAGGTATCAATGATAAAATTGAAATTGATAGTTTCGTGAATTAATGTAAGCAACATTTTCAGAGTAAATAAGTAACCGAGATAAAATTAACAAAAGTTTAAATGGCGAGAAGAAAATTCTGGAAAAGTCATGGACATTGAATCATGAAACGTCAAAGTACAATTTTCTGTTCACTGGGACATAAAAAAACATACCTCTTATCAAAATGAAGTTAAATATATTTTTTGTTATAATCCTACCTCTATAACCAAAAATTATATGTAGGAATGTCACAAAATACTTTTATTCAACAGCAATCGTCACAGACCTGAAAGATTGTAGTACATACACTTTTTATTTAGTCAGAAAAAATCATACTCATTTACTAAGTCAGTCGGCTACAACGTAAGACCAAGCACATATATGCATCGGTCCAAGTTACCACACCTCATTAGCACAACAAAATCAACACCAAGTTAATATGCACAGTTACCTCAATGGCAGTAAAAAATCAACACTTCATATAAGGATATGATACAGGGAGAAAGAATTAACGCCGTAGAAAGAAATACATAAAATGGTTTTAATCTCACGGTTTAAGTGAGAACAAAGAGTGCATACACCTACGCCATCGTGATCGATTCTCAATCATTTCACACAGAGTCTTCAACCATTGGTTACGATAACCGCACCGACCACAACCGGGTAGTCTGCATCTACCAACATGGCTCAGACTAGAAGTTAGTAACTTCAAGGACTGATTCTATGTTTTGGTTTGTCCGCCCCTAACTTTCTTCCACCCATCCCCAACACTAGTCAGCATTTACCAAGTGTACAAGTGTTTATACCCAGGGACTTTCGGATGCAGCCTCATATGAGGGATGGTAGTTTCATTAACTTCTTAAAATCAAAATAGTTGGAGATCGCATTCAAAGATATGACTCAGAAATCAGTTTACTTATAATTTTTAAATCGATTTCATGCGAAGATTATTGATTAAAGGTTACATTGCTTACAGTATAAGAAATATATACACTGCAGTCTGATACATTTAATTTCTGATCCTTAATACTAAAACTGTTAAAGGAAAATATGGCACCAATCCATAAAGTCTATTATTACTGAGTTTCAAGCTATAGAAAATTGTTTGCTAACTGACAGATATGAAATGATAATAAGTTATCATGAATATAATTCTGACCAAATCATCTAAATTCTACCTTCTAAAAAGCTATCAAAAAATACATTTATAAACTGTAAACATCAAACTGAGTATTATTTATGTATGCAAAAATCATTATTATTGTCTGTTATCCAGAACTGTTTCCCGAATACAACAACACAAACTCACATATGACAGTGCACTGACCTATGTTGAAACGGTTTACAACGATTAGAAAAAAGAAATCAATAAAACTAAGAAATATCCCAAAACTTTCTTGTCTACCTTAATAATCTTAGATAGTTTATCTGATGTAATTGAAAAATTTAAATAACCATTGGCATTTATATTGAAATATCTGATAACTGAATTTTATTCTGAAGGTAGCTTAATTCATGAGCCCCCTAATGCCCTGGTATGGCCAAGGGTGGGGAGAGTCCGCACTACCTCTCAAACGGCCACGCGTATACAGCCACTGCGAGGGTTGCCCTACTCACTACCTTCTCGCAGCACGGGTGTTGTTTACGAAATTGACAACACGAAAACAGAATGTCCGGCGCCTTAACCCGGTTGGTGGGTACGGAGGATCCACATAGGAAAGTTGTAAAACCCTGATTCCAAACCCATGGTGCACATGCGTCCCAGGATCCTGAGGGAACAAATGGCGTGTGAACCTATTGTTGGTCACCGGCTACCATAGAACTGCATCTCTGAACATTGATCCACTGCTTTGTGGATTAGGCTTCTAGGTCAGAGGCTTGGGGTGTAGCCCCCTAATAAAACCACCTGCTTCAGTTTGGGGATCCGGGCAGTATTCCAGTCCTCACACAAATTAAATAACGAAGTGTGGTGTACATATATTTGGTGGCTCCTTGTAACAATGTTTGTGTTTAAATAAATAAATAAATAAAATAATTCACAATAAATTATAAAATGTTTTTGAAAATTATTTCGATTAATATATTATTCTATTAATTAGCTGGTTATTCTAATTATTGTCAGTATAGGGTCGTGAAGATTGTTGAATTTCATCGAAATCACGAACCTGTCCAAATGAGACCAACACTGGATGATCATTTTGTTCCATTATTTAACATTGATAATATAATAATTAAATAGTCTAATTTATAAATCATAACCAATTGTGAATAATAGATGACAAAAAGAAATACAAGTTAATAATATTATTTACTTACATCTTTTATAATTTCTAGTAGCCGAGCTAGATCATGATGTGAGGCAAGTTGACATTTCGTGGTAAAATCAAATGCCAAGGCTGATAGAGGTGAGCACATTGTATTGGTTTTTTAGAAAAGAGAAAAAAGTATTATTACTTAAAAATAAACAAAAAAGTGGATGTAAAGCAGCTTAGTTTACTAAAATACTCCCAACAAGAGGATAAAATACTTTACATGATACGTATTTATAGGGTGAGAAACGAATTCAGTGTATTCAGCTCTCAATTACTGAGGAAATCATGAATGGTCACATTTGAGTTAAACTGTAGATATATGCATCACTATCAAATCGACAAAGATAATCTGATAATTTAATTTTACTCGAAAGGAATTAATTTTACGCATACATGCAAAACCTTATATCAAAACAGACTAAAATTAACTCATTAAACAAGAAAATATCTTTGTACTTGACCGTCAGACACCTTTTTCTAGTGTGAGGGTGAGTGAAACTACTACCTTGCCTAAAACTAAGGTAGGTGGAGTGGGCTTCGAAACTCGATCCAGTGGTTAAAACTCGACTTCTTCAACGCTAAACCTAGACAACTCAAAAAATTTCAAGTTTTTCATAAGATAAACCTAATGATTAATTGCTTATTCAGAAATAAGTAAACAAAATCACTCGACACTTTTGAATACAAAACGACCAATGAAACATCCAGCCTGAATAGTATATAATGGTTAAGATATGGAGACATCAACTTCTGATTTCTACTTCTATAACTAAAAGAATAGAAATATCTTAATTTAACAAGATATAAAGGCCTTCAGTTTGATTTCAAGTAAACATCAATGAATAGTACTGATTAGTGGTAGACTAGGACAAAGAAGTTTCCTAGTACCTGGCTCTTGATATAAAATAACCATCATCCCACTGAAAATCATTTTTAAATAAAAATAGATTCACTTTATACTAGATATTTTTAAGTGAACGTTTACAAACCAGATTAAATCTCATTTTTTAGTTAATTACAACGAGAAATTCCTATTGCTATTTCGCTTTTTCCATAAAAAAATGATTGCAGAAGTAAACTTAACAAATAAGTAAGAATATGCGATAGCAGATTTGTTTCAATAACTATATTCTATCTCATAATCATTCACGAAAGTAAATAAATGCAACAACACTAGCAATCTACTTGAGTGTGCAGTCAGCAAGGTTTTTTCCAAGAACTGGATTGAAACGAAAACAAAAAGAAGTATACTACGTGTAGCAATCATTAATATTTTAAATGTCAATACCGAAGCAACTTAAAAATCTAATTCTTTGTGATAAATGACAGAAATATGCCATTTTCAGTTAAATATTCGCGGAGATTTACTGATCGCTGCAAACTAAAACTAAGTCTGATACAATAATATCTTACTACATCAGCAAAGAGTTGTAAGGCACAAATATGAAATAACACTAAATCAGAGGTGAATAAATAATTCATGATATATTTACTGACAATTCAAGTCCTTTTTTCAACTGTATTTATTAATATCAAGTACAATCATTAAAGACTCATGACTATTCAAACCAAGCGAATAACTGATTATCTTTGCAAATACAGTCATTCAGTTAGTCATAGTCAACGTAAGACCTAAAACAAACTAATTTTGACTCACCCAACCAGCACAGGTGAAGTAATCAAAAAGATACTAAAGGTCTTTTATGGGAATTCTGTTTGGGAATATATATTGTTAACTCCTAATTCTTGTGCTCATTTGGGAAAATTTCAGTATCGAGGCCAGAAAATACTAAACAACAGAAGAGCACAACACAGGGAAGGATAGAAAATGGATGCAACTGCGCTACCATAATCGGAAATGTACCATATGATTCAGTTTTTACAACAACAGGCTACGACTATTGCACAGACCCTAACGATGAACTCTTTACATTTCAACATGGTTTAAACCAAAAGTTTGATCCCTTGACCTATCCAAATTTAGCTTATTTCCAGCTAACTAGTATGTCAGCTGACTGATTCACTTCTTCAACTAGTATTATTTTATTGCATATGACAGTTCGAAACCTGTCTTAATTCATGTAATTTCCAGGGGCATTTACAGCTCATAGATTCCTTCATTATTAGACCGTCAGTAACAAGTGTAGGGTATTATTTTACTCAACAAAAGATTAAAGCTTATTTGTTGGTGTAAAAATCAGAACGATACAACACGACTTTTAGTTCATATTATTATTTTGTAGTAAATCGCTAATTATGGTACTATAATAATAGGAGATACGCATTTGTCAAGTTAGGGATTTTCTTACATAACTTCTCCACAAAAGATCAAAATCATGCTAATATTACAGTCTCTATTTATCATTTGAAATTCTTCTATAATTTGTTAACCATTTAAGTGGCGGTTAAACATAAATCTATTCAGACAATAGTATCGAAAGTCTCGAAACCTGAAATAAGAAGGTAGAGCCTTTTAAAAATTTATCAGCTATTGCTTTGTTGTGTCATAAATCTCTTCAATACAAAAAGGACATGTAGAAACTGAACAGAAAATGTGAAAACTTACAGTTATCCTTTACTAACTCTTTTTCTGAGACAACTGAAGATATCTGACAAAATTTTCTTAATAACCCAATCAATGGCCAAAGTAATAATTTTTTACCAATATTATCATCATTACCATTAATTTCAGAAGATTTCTGGCATAAATCATGAACCGATTTAATGGCAACATTATAAAAGAAATGAGCAACAGCTAATGAATCCGTTTGAGTATTCGGCGTGGTATTATTCTTGGCATTGATTATTTCTAACAACTTTATAAACCAACAAAAACAAATGATTGAAAAAAAACAAGGGAAAGAATCAGTTACCTTTCTTATAATACAATACGACTTAATGAGCTCACATATAATTTAATTATTCACTACTGTAACTCACTAACCAAGAACAAACTTATACACTCGGCTTCGTGCTGGTGATGATACAACCCAGCTGTATAAACATCATAGTGTGTGAACATGCGACTGACAATATTCTGTGTGTTTAAGAGAAAGTTCAACGAAATTTAGAGTATATGGTAATAAGTACTTAATTCATATCATACTACTACCTAATCAAAGTAGGTGAGATGAAAACCTCATAAAGAGCATGAGATATATAACTAATTACTGTTACATGTAACCATCCTTTGTGTTGACCAAGTCGTAAATTACCACTATGAGGAACACGATGAGATAAAATGCTCAAAAAGTCCCAAGTACTGTAATAGTCGATGTATTTTGTTAGCAATGATAATCTGACGATACTGCACATGAATTTAAGCATTCAATTTCCAAAACAGATGTAGCAAAGAAGTTTAGACAGTATGTTACAGATGATTTCATGATTCATCGAAAATGAATGCAAGATATGAAGACTGTTAAAATGAATGAAGAGAATACTAATCGACAGATAATATGTAATCATAAGACTTAGCACAGTAATGGATACTCAAGAGACAAAGTAACTAACTAAAAAAAACCCGAATAAATTGATATCAAAGACAAAACTACTAACAAGAACAGATCTCTGTTCCAATGAGACATGATTATATATTTAAAGTAATAACGTAGAAATAAACATGATTAGATATCGCAAACTGTTATAATCTCTTTTTTCTTACGGTTATGACCCAGCTATTCCTATTGCTTAGTATTCTCGGACACCGATTCACTCGACAAGTCCCCAAATCAAAACACGGTTGAACAGGAAGAGATTGTATTCCAAATAACAAGGCTAGATGGAAGTAAGAAGCACGTCAGAAGCACAATAGGGAAAAACGTCAGTATATTTATAGTTTTTACATAAGAAGATTCCAGAGTATTCTCCAACTATCGGCTAGTGCTGATTGGATAAGAATCAGCCAATCAGCGTGCACCAAAGCAATCATGCATTGAGCATGCTTTAATCTAGTCTATGTCCCGCTAACACCTCCCCTCTGAGCAGATTCGTAGGATCTGGTGCTAGGGTCCAACTGCAACTGAGTGACTGGCTTGTGCTCTCGATTAGTCCATCGTCTAAGCAATAAAGAATTATCACTTTTTTTCTTGCACAGAGACTGACGTGTCTGTTCCCGGCGTTTTGATTTTTTTTAAAAAAAGTATGCATAACTTTCAATTCTCCAACATTCTCCTCCTCCGCGAAATAATGTCGGATCCTTATATCTCCAAATTACAAATAATAGGACTTTATTTAAACGATGTTTCTTGCATTGAATGTCGGATCCACTAGAAATGACTAGATGATAATGAACGACCTTTGATTTGAGGTCAGAGTTTAATTCTTCTGAAGCATTACTTTCAAATCCATTAGAAATTTCATCAGTGGATAATGGATCATTGCGGAAATCAACATCTAACAAAATTAAATTAGACTTTTGACCATAATTTGACTCAGCTAACATATCTTCCTCATTTTTATAAGAAATTTCATCAAAATTACATGCATTATTCTGAGAACCCATATCTGATACATTGTCATTAGAAATCAGATAAGCTGATTCGGTATAAATTTCTGTCTCACATTGATTTTGAGTAACATTCGGTATATTTGGGTTCATCGTGTCACTGCAGTTATTTTCTGAATACGAGTCCCCATAGCTTTTTCGGCTAATATCACGTGGACCATAATTTTGTTCTAGTTGAAGTTTATTTTCAGGGCTAGACAAAACCAGTAGTGTTTCATTCAATTCTGGACTCCGGGCTTCATCTACAGGGTCTGGCTCTTGATCATCTCGTATTGCCACAACTTTATGAGCATTCAGCACAGTAAACTAAAGAAAAATGGCGATTTCTTTAGAACAGTTGCGGTTAATATTACAGCACCAGCAGAAGTTGTTAGCCTTGCAACAACAACTATTGAGCACACTTTTCACTCGACCAGAAAATAAGAAATCTGTTTATGATGCAGTAACAGACATTTCAGAAGCATATCTAGTGGAGGGTTCAAATCCCTTCATACCTGAATCAGAACGTAATATTTGTAACGTGTCCAGCTCACAGCAATAAAATATTGTGCTGAATGCTCATAAAGTTGTGGCAATACGAGATGATCAAGAGCCAGACCCTGTAGATGAAGCCCGGAGTCCAGAATTGAATGAAACACTACTGGTTTTGTCTAGCCCTGAAAATAAACTTCAACTAGAACAAAATTATGGTCCACGTGATATTAGCCGAAAAAGCTATGGGGACTCGTATTCAGAAAATAACTGCAGTGACACGATGAACCCAAATATACCGAATGTTACTCAAAATCAATGTGAGACAGAAATTTATACCGAATCAGCTTATCTGATTTCTAATGACAATGTATCAGATATGGGTTCTCAGAATAATGCATGTAATTTTGATGAAATTTCTTATAAAAATGAGGAAGATATGTTAGCTGAGTCAAATTATGGTCAAAAGTCTAATTTAATTTTGTTAGATGTTGATTTCCGCAATGATCCATTATCCACTGATGAAATTTCTAATGGATTTGAAAGTAATGCTTCAGAAGAATTAAACTCTGACCTCAAATCAAAGGTCGTTCATTATCATCTAGTCATTTCTAGTGGATCCGACATTCAATGCAAGAAACATCGTTTAAATAAAGTCCTATTATTTGTAATTTGGAGATATAAGGATCCGACATTATTTCGCGGAGGAGGAGAATGTTGGAGAATTGAAAGTTATGCATACTTTTTTTAATAAAAAATCAAAACGCCGGGAACAGACACGTCAGTCTCTGTGCAAGAAAAAAAGTGATAATTCTTTATTGCTTAGACGATGAACTAATCGAAAGCACAAGCCAGTCACTCAGTTGCAGTTGGACCCTAGCACCAGATCCTACGAATCTGCTCAGAGGGGAGGTGTTAGCGGGACATAGACTAGATTAAAGCATGCTCAATGCATGATTGCTTTGGTGCACGCTGATTGGCTGATTCTTATCCAATCAGCACTAGTCGATAGTTGGAGAATACTCTGGAATCTTCTTATGTAAAAACTATAAATATACTGACGTTTTTCCCTATTGTGCTTCTGACGTGCTTCTTACTTCCATCTAACCTTGTTATTTGGAATATAATCTCTTCCTGTTCAACCGTGTTTTGATTTGGGGACTTGTCGAGTGAATCGGTGTCCGAGAATACTAAGCAATAGGAATAGCTGGGACATAACCGTTATAACAGATTTATAACACAAACAATAGAAGGGTGTCAGTTGTGTAGGCCACTTGCTTGCCATAGAATTAAGATCTGCTTTTTAGGCCGAAGTCTTGCTTATATTATCACAGCACCACTGATTTTTATACAATGAGTACGGTTCGCAGCATAGTACATTTTATGGATTATCATACTTACCTTATTATGAGTAAAGATAGCAATCAAGTGTAGTTGTATCTGAAAGTACAACTATACGTAACCGACAAAACTCTACAAAAGTTACTAGAAGTGAAGGATCAAAATAGGTGCTTATTAACGTCTCTTTTCCTATTAATACAAACAACGTTCATAAATGTGGCAGATACCTGAACAGAAACTAATGAAAAATATTTTTCATAACTTGATCTACTGGCCAAATCATCCGAGGAATTATGAAGAAATTCGGGGATTGTTGTCAAAATATTCGCCAATGTTGAAATCATTTTTGGTTGAATACGTGGATCAATCGAAGTGATCGGACCAGTCGAAGGTAATATCCCAGGACAAAGAGACAGAGAAGCTAGTAACAAGCTTCTAACACCTAAATTGTGGGCATTTTCAGATTTTTCAACGTTCGTATTATTTATAACAACTGGATGGACCAACAAACGGGATAGTAAACGACCACAAGATTTACGTAACCAGATTGGTGCTTTGGGTAACTGAACAGCTCCCTTAATTTGAACAGCAAAGGAATAGATTAACAAAAACTGTTGTTAATGTACAATAGATTACTTATTAATCGACAGTTTAGCTACCAAACAATAACAAATTATCTACTGAAAAAGTGGTAAACTGTAATGCGTCAAAACATTTATACCAGGGAACAACGTTAAGCAAAAAATCACTCAGAAGCGATCATCAATTAACATTAGGAAAAACTATCAAAGTAACGGGAAAATGTTTAGAAGTTCAAGAGCTGGGTAGTGGATAGTTGAGAGACTAAGTATCCACTTACCTCCTTAATTATTTAAAAAACAAGCACTTGTGCAAATAGGCATCAAAATAAATATGCTCCATACAAATAGTTAAATGAAATTGTGAGATAAAGGAATGATGAGGAGTTATCGATAAAATTAAATAAATAAGTGTTATAAAGCTCGGTTTTTCTTCGTCTTTACGAATGGGATGTTAATTTGTCTTAGACAAATATCTACACTAGATTCCCTCTCAGTATCTATTCCACAGGACTTCAACACAACTCAGACCAGGAACACGTGATTAGCCTGACTAAAACATAAATATATTTCCACACCGAAAGTCGATAGCAATCCGACACAATTCAACAATAACCAATAATAATAATAAGGATAGGAGAATATATAACTCATCTAACGCCTATCAGACTATATACAAGTCTGGCTAAGCAAGCAACCCAATCATTATCATTCTCACCCACACATCAATGAGAGAGAAGAGTTTGTAGTAAGAAAAAGTTCAGTTCATGAAAAAATACAACCAAGAAGAATTTGTTGACTTAGTGAAATGCAAATGAAAACTGCTGAAGAATCGCTATTGTTTTTATTCTAAGATATATCTGGTAACGTCTCTAGCCATCATTTTTAAAACTTTAGCCAAACAATCATGACAGATCGGCGGGTGTCAGTGATATACAGCTTTTTCCATTTCGTCTTAGCACCCATAAACAATGCATGACGTAAAAACCAGTGGAATGACATCCTTAACGCATGTCCAAACCGGAGAAGCCCATGTCTCAAGATAGTGACAGCGACAGAATTATCGTCACTGTGCCCTAATATATAATGGATTGCAACTTCAGCCTCACAATTGTCCCATATTAATTCTAAAGGAGGTACCATGATGGGCGAAAATGAATGATCACTAGCTACATTGCCGGAACCATTTTTATTCTAGAATAGTTATTCGCTGTTCGACAAGTAGACCAATTATACAATCTTGGTTGAATATTTTGTATATAAATGATAGCTTTAATACTACGTTAGCTGCCAAACAGTCCTAACTTGCGGTAGCTATTTAACGAAGGTCTCGTTATCAAGTTATGAGTCCGATCACCTGAATTATTTCCATATTTTATTAAATTGATGCGAATTTTGTAACGACTCACTAAATCTAAAACTGAATGCAAGAGATGAAATAAAAGTTTCATAAAACAACTGGAAACTGAAGAGTGGATGTGTTACACCAGAATCTACTAGTGCATCAAGTCACCTTGGGCACAATCAATAATCATAAGACTAAGGCTAAAAGAGTTCGCAGTTGTTGTTTAGATATTAAATGACCAGCATCAACACAATTCTATTGTCCTATATAAGTAGTCAAAGCAAGGTAATATTATACACGGTATTGCCTTATAGTTGCCTTTTTCCTGACCCGTTCCCACTGATTCATTACTATTTCTTGTTCTTTGACATCTATATAACTGTCCTTTTAATGCAGTGAATTTCCTTACGATCACCCCGACCGTTGTTGCTACCTTGACGTGGTGGTCGGGCTTGCCTATCGTGATGAAGCAACCAAGCTATACTGGCTGGAACAACCGTTCCTCAAGGTCCTACTATGTCAGACAGGTCGGTTGAAGAGCGGTAAGACTAAAAGCAACAAACCCAAGGTCCGAAGGCGAAGTCGTACTGCTGACTGTACAGAGGTTTGACAGCAGTAAGGTGTTTCCTTCAGACAACCAGCATGACAGCGATGCTGCCTTCCCACAAGGAGGGGTGGGGTTAGAAAAGGTCGACCCTAAAAATACGCACCTCACCTTACCTCACGGATTTCCGTCTCCGGCGGTAAGGCCCTTTGAAGAACGGAGCTAACACGTCAAAAACCTTCCACAAAAAGGTCGTGTGTGACCTGCCTCAAGCAGTTGCCCCTTGGGCACTGCGGTCACGCTCTCAGGTCACTGAGACCGCCTCTAATCCAATTTCCTTTTCAGATACCTCCAGAACAAGCCTTCCACGGTGTGGGCAACCGGGAAGTGATAACCGCCCTCATACCTCTAACAGCACCCAAGACCACTGTATTCATAATCAACCTTCCTCTTCAATTCCTATTATTCCTCCTACATCGACTTTCAACCCTAAACTTCCTCCTTCGGCTTCCTCCTCAAGTGTCACCATAGCCAACGATTCTAGTGCTCAAAACTCTGTCCCACGTCTACTGAAACCTCGCTCCAAACTACACATTGGAGCTTTCAACGTACGCACTCTATGTCAAATCGGTCAGCAGGCTTCCTTGGCTAAAACCCTAGAGTCTCTTTCCATTGATGTATGCTGTGTCTCCGAAACACGCATACAGGATTCCAGTGTGGTCATTCACTTGACCTCACCTCGGCAAAACGGAGAGCCAACGAGATACACCCTACGTGTATCTGGTGACCCGATGGCCAGTTCTCGTGGACTGGCAGGTGTAGGCATAGCACTAAGCATGAAGGCGGAACAAGCACTGCTAGAGTGGATCCCCGTCAACAGTCGCTTATGTGCTGTTCGGCTAAACGGCTCCGTAAAAACTCGGAAGGATAGGGACACACGTCGTTGCCTTTTCGTCGTTTCTGCCTACGCTCTCACTGACTGCAGCTCAGATGATGTGAAAGATGAATTTTACAGAAAGCTGTCCGAACTTCTTCAGAAAGCTAAACGCTCAGACATAGTATTCGTAGGGGGTGACTTTAATGCTCAGATAGGTAGCTTAAACCAAACAGAAAGGTATTTAGGTGGATATTTTAGCATTCCGGCACAGCGAACAGATAATGGTGACCGTCTGCTGCAACTGTGCTCAGACAATCGCTTATTTTTAGCAAACACAAATTTTAAGCATAAGGAGAGACATCGTCTAACGTGGCGACCGCCTGCACCAAACCAGCGATGGACTCAAATAGACCATATTGCCATCACTCATCGTTGGAGAGGGTCGGTACAAGATTGTCGCTCATTCTGGAGTACCTGCTTGGACTCCGACCACGCCCTAATACGGGCACGGATCTGCTTGCGCCTAACTGGACGCAAAAAAGCCACAGTAAAAAGACCCATTAGAACCGAACTGAGTAGCGAGGAAACCAAAAGTAGGTTCCAGGAACAACTGAGGTCACGATTAGGTAGTTCTGAAGACGAGGCTGACCCAGATGTTGCTTGGAAAGATATACAAGCAGCTGTGGAAGCAGCAGTGACATCTATTAGCAACTTAAACCACAGAGTTTCAAAGAACCAGTGGATTTCTTCAAAGTCTATCACACTGATGGGTTCTCGCAAACTCGTCCCATCAGGTTCCGAACATGATGAAGAGCGACAACAAATCAGATCTAGGTTAAGAAAAAGTCTAAGAAACGACCGTGAGCAGTGGTGGGCAACGAAAGCAAAAGAGATGGAAAAGGCGGCGACTATAGGGAACACAAGACAGCTTTACAGACTAATAAAAGAAACTGGAATTAATAAGTCAAGTGTAAGTGAGATTATATCGGAAAAAGACGATACACTCATCTGCTCCCAGTCCAGGCGTTTAGAACGATGGGCGGAACATTTCAGAGAACAGTTCAGCTGGCCTTCAGCTACTCTACAACTACCCTCCATTCCCAGACAGTGTGAATGGAACATTGAAGTAGGTCCCCCAACTCTTGCTGAAGTTCAAAAGGCTATAGTTAATCTAAAACGAGGAAGGGCAGCTGGTCCAGATTAATTGGCTCCAGAGGTCTTTAAGGATGGTGGTCCAATTTTAGCGATTAGGCTGACTAATATTTTAGCTAAAATCTGGGAGTTAGACGTTATTCCATCTAACTGGTCACAATCACTTATCGTCCCAATATATAAGAAAGGGTCAAAATCATCCTGTGACAACCACAGAGGGATTAGTCTAACTAATATAATATCTAAAATACTAGCCTCGATAATTATCAGACGCCTAACTAAGACTCGTGAACTGCAAACACGAGAGAACCAAGCTGGCTTTAGACCTGGTCGTGGCTGCACCGACCACATATTCACCATTCGTCAGATTCTAGAACACAGGCATACTTATCGGCGTCCGACAATGGTGGTCTTTCTCGACTTAAAAGCAGCATTTGACTCGGTAGACCGCGAGATTCTGTGGCAGTGTCTGTCATTGAAAGGCGTACCCCAGAAGTACATAAACCTTGTGAAGGCTCTTTACTCGAACACTACTAGTCGAATCAGAGCTTATGGCGAACTGTCATCTACTTTTGCAACCTCAAGTGGTGTCCGTCAAGGCTGTCCACTTTCCCCATTTTTGTTTAACTTCATCATAGATCTACTGATGGAAATAACACTCTCGTCGACTGAGTTCTCGGGTATTGATCTCCTACCAGGAGGTCCACTTATCGACTTAGAATACGCAGATGACATAGTCCTGTTTGGTGAAGACGCTGACAAAATGCAGAGTCTTCTGGTAGCACTGAGCAACAATGCCAGAATGTTTGGAATGCGCTTCTCTCCCTCTAAATGCAAGTTGTTGCTTCAGGACTGGTCTGCGTCAACACCTGAACTAAGGATAGGGAGTGAAGTAGTCGAACGCGTTGACAACTTCACTTATCTTGGAAGTCTGATCAGCCCTAATGGGTTGGTATCGGACGAAATCTCAGCACGGATTCGAAAAGCTCGATTGGCTTTTGCCAACCTGCGTCACCTATGGCGAAGGCGAGATATCCGTCTATCAATAAAAGGACGAGTATACTGCGCGGCAGTCCGTTCTGTTTTAATATACGGCAGCGAAACATGGCCATTAAGAGTAGAAGACACTCGTAAGCTACTAGTATTTGACCACAGATGCCTTAGAAATATTGCTGGCATCTGCTGGGATCACCGGATAAGTAATAGTGAGGTTAGACGCAGGGTATTAGGGAATGATGGTAAATCAGTTGATGAGGTTATGAATCTTCATCGACTGAGATGGTTGGGCCACATGTTACGTATGCCTGAATACCGATTACCACGACGTGCAATGCTATCCGGTATTGGAGATGGTTGGAAGAAAGTTAGGGGCGGCCAAACCAAAACGTGGCATCAGTGCTTGAAGTCACTAACTTCTAGTCTGAGCCATGTTGGTAGATGCAGACTACTTGGTTGGGGGCCGCGTGACTATCGTAACCAATGGTTGGAGACTCTTGGTGACATGGCTCAGAATCGATCACAATGGCGTCGGTGTATACACTCCCTGTCTTCCCTTAAACTAAGAGATTAAAATCGCTTCATATCTTTCTTTCTACGAACCAATTCTTTCTTCTTGTACTATATCTCTATATGCAATCTTTCTCTTACATATTACTACCTTTGACCTAACCACTGCTATGAATCCGGTGTTCATCTTGTTGTGCTGATGCGGTATGGCAACCTGGACCGATGCACATATGTGCCTGGTCCTACGTTGTAGCTGACTGACTGACTGACCTTACGATCAGATTTCCTGAATTAATACTTTTGTTGAACAAATATGATGAAGAAAATAATAAGTTCAAACTGTATCAGAATAAAGGAAAACAATAGTTGTATATATTACAATTAAGGAATAAACTAACCTTAACACGAATTTGTGTACCACCTTGAAGAATCATTAATTCTTTCATTGCAATGTGACGTGGTAGCTCAAGCAACAGTTTCCAAAGAATTTTTTGAGATTCACGAATGTATGCCATTAACGAAGAAACTCTTTCCGAAGTGAAATCATTACTTCGTAAATATGAATCCATTCCGAAAGCAGATTGAAATAAACTTGCAATTAAATCACCCAGAAATGAAGTGGTGCTGACTAATCGTTGTAACTGAAAAGATTTAGACTCTCTCAAGGAAAGCAAACACTTGATAATCTACATAATAAATAATATAAAATGTAACGAACAGTTGTTTTGTTTGAAGACAAAGATATTCGAAAAAAGTGTCATAGTGTTATTTAAAGCGAGAAAATAAGTTTGGTGTATCGCGCTGGTAAATTTATTACATTACGATAATACATACTCGTAGTAGAAGTCGAGTTGGTGCAATTTAGTTACCAAGTACGAATTTATGCGTACAATGTTTGACAATACTATAAGGTTAGAAAAATCACGTAGCTAAGTAAATGAAAGCAGAAAGTGTGGGATACGCACATGTAACTCATTTGTCCAACCAAGTACTTACTTATATCATTGAGCTACTGTTTAGAACACAAACGTCGTTAAGAAATGTTTTTACAGTTTTTAAAAAAAACTTGCTTATCAAGAAAGGGTTTATCACACGAATACTCGATCAAGATAAAGCTCTAATAAGAACAAATAACAATTTTCGACAAAAACTAGACGTTAGGTTTAGCTAAACTGCTCTAATTTATTTGCAGAAATCTTGAACTAAAAATCAAAAGTTTAACTAGCTCCTTTGCCATCAATAAATTTGTGCTTTTTCATTGAACTTACTCTAACCTGCTTTTAAAAGTAATTGTACCTTATGAAGCTCTAAGTTAAATCATTTATTTGAATATACACAATTAGCCATAATACAGTTACTTCCAAAAATGAACCAATTGCGAGCGCTAATGACACTACACGGCTGCAAAAACCTTAGTAGGTGGAGAAACATTCGAACCTGGAACCGAGTGGCTAAAAGTCGAACACCTTAACCACTAAGCCATCAATCCATTATTCTGATTCGTCTGACAATCATTTTGTTAATTTTACCTCGTCAAGCCGTAGTATGAGATGGTGCTACTTTACTTAAGTATGATGCGTTTTTAGTCACTTATGTGACTATGTGACCAAATACAGATTCGTGTACCCAGCTTCGAGCAAAACCTTTTGTGTGAAGGCTAGTGATACTAATCAGCAGCTAGAACGGAGGTGGAATGGAGTTCGATCTAGTAATTAACTGGTTGAAAGTCAAATGCACCAATTCTTAAGCCATTGTTATGTAGAGAGTAAAGTTGGAAAATTAGGTATATGCTTTAATTACTGTATTTGTTTAGATGAGTATTCAAATAGCTTGATCAACCTACGTTTAATACATTTTTAATATTTCGAGACTACACGGCTGAGCATGAGTTGTAGTTGCAACTCTAGCTACTAGTATATGATTATCATTACATTAACAGTGGTTAAATATGATATCACGAGTTGGTAAGAAATTCTGAATATATGATGTTAGGAGAGAAGTAAACCACAGTATTTAGTGATGAACATTCAAATAATGACTTGGTTAATTCAAGCTTCAACGATATTATCTCCTCAAAGCGCAGTCCTAAATAAGACGCTTATAATACCTAAACTACGGAACGGCAAAAAAAATAGGAAGGCGCTGACTCCCTATACTAATCAAAACGAGTCACTGGCTCTCAAGGTGAAATAAAAACATCATTACGCGATAATCTAGGATTCGAAAATATATGTGCATAAAGCGACAAAAGATGGAAATTAGCTTATTCTAGTCAGATATTGTATTTTCATTTTACAATTACGCTTATATGTACTTTGCATGAATCGACAACCAGTAAAAGCATTCATAAACTACTCACAATTACCTTCATCAGTTTTTCAATTCTTTCTTCATCTTTTTCCTTCCGAGGACAGATGAACTTTTCATAATTTTCCAAACGCATACTTAAGGGCAATGAAACTCCGGTTTCTAAAAGCGGATAAACGCCATATGCGACAACAAATTGAAGGCATGAGGACAATTGTTTTTCCTGAAACACACTGAAAATAGGGATGTCAGCGCTATCGTTGGCTGCATTGCTTTCATATAAGTCATTACAAGCGTGCAGAAAATTAAGACAGCACAAATAAAATGCCTCATGAACTTCTGTGCCATTAAGATCAAACAGTAAGTTTTCATCATTAGACTTTTGTACATACGCTTCAACTCCTTCACGAAGTCGAATACAAGGGTCTGGATCGGAGAAGTCAGATGATGGGAGTAGGGATGTAAGCTGACTAAACAATAATCGCAATTTATCCATAACGAGATCAAAGGTAGCCACCTACATGGAAATTAAAAAGGGCACACACTAGACACTGTAGGAGTTTCAAAACTAATATAAAATATAAAGGATTACATGGCTTTTCACAAGAATGTCCAATATACAGCCATAGTCAAACATACTTTGAGTTTATAGCTCACTACGTACGTAATCGCTACTTTTATTACTGCGTTAACTTTAGCAACCACATGTTATTTACTTTCGAGATATTTGGGAAAGATCTGTTACAGACATATACTTAGCAGACTCCATACACCTTTCAGGCAGATAACAAAAACTTTTGAGACAATAAACCAACCAAACAGAGTTCATGGTTAACATACATGAAACAAAGGTTATCTGTACTAGCACCAAGCCAACGAGCAAGAAGTAGTGTCCGAATGTATAAAATAAGTCGAGTATAAATATTAAATAATAAAGACATAAATCCGGATAAATATTTATAACTTGGTAATTTATCACATTTTGGATACTATCCGCCTTAAACGTTAAACTGGATGCAACAACGACAGGACAGGAAATAAAAAACAATGTACTGAGAGAGCAATATTAAATAAAATCAAATATCTGTAGCCCACAACCCCATCTTACAAACAAAGGAAAATCACATTACAATATACTCAATAAAATTTAGGGAAGAACAATTTAAACCCCAAAATTAGGACTGAGCTGGAGTTTTTCTTCAAACTAAGTTGAAATCTAGGAGTAACACATAAAACGCTGTGAGACTTTTGCAGTTGTCCCCACTGTTTTCACACAATTTACACGAGCCTAATCAAATTCACTGCAGAACTACGACAATTTCTAATCGTTTAGGAGAAAGCCATAAATTATTTATAGTTTGGATAAATCCCGTAGTATTCATCTTGAGATAATCTGCAATACATTGAACTGGGGAAATCCCTTGGGGGATTTCCACTATTCAGAAATGAAGTCGCGTCGTTTCGCAAACTTAACACTTAAAGAAATATTTGCCCACTTACAACGCAATTTCTAAGATGCTTCGTTCTTCACATATTTTTAATGGAAATTTCAAAGGAAAACAATCTACAGAGCAAGTGTTCTTGTCCTTCACAACGACAGATGAGCTTCTAATGTATGGATTCAACTTACTGACATGGTTTGACAGATCACTTAAGGTCGTTACAACTTGTGGAAAGCTGATATTACAAGTGCGTGACCTGTCGGTGTAAAAATAGGCTGAGTGGTTCAGAGGTTAAGGGTTCGTGCGCAAAATCGAAGGTTCTGGGTTGGAATCACGCGTGAGACCGTGGATGCGCACCGCTGAGGAGTCCCATACCAGGACGAAACGGCCGTTTCGTCTTTCCAGGTTTCCAATGATGGCCTAACAATCATCGATTCATGACCTCAATCAAAGTAAAGATAGGTGTTAGTGGAGCTTACTTGTTAATAACACCGCGAGAAATATATGGAAACATATGAGAAAATGTTTGAAGAACTAAGGACTTTAGAAGATACATTGCAAGACAGAAAATTCAGAGATCAGTTCATCAGTTGCAACAGTTGTTTAGTAAGAATGATGTGATAAAATTATAGGAGTAATCTTCGCAAGTCTATAAAGGAGATTTTAGTTTACGTTAGGAAAGCTAACCGGGCAATTAATTACATTTCATATGCGACTAAAACTGAAACAGGGATAAGTGATTATAGATCCTACAGAAGGATTCAAAGTTAAAATTAGAATAAACAATATTGATTATGTATTCTATGTTCGTGGTTTCAAAGTGCTTCCCGTTACGAAAAATACATCAGACGAGTGATGGATGCTGAGAGCCGAGTTTTCTTCCACAACTCAAGAGATAAAGTACATCAGTATGTATGGTGATCCAAAGACAACATAGACGTTACACAATAAGGATGGGTTATTCAATACATGTATATATATAACTTTTGGTTAGATGTAGGAATGTCACAAAATACTTTTATTCAACAGCAATCGTCACAGACCTGAAAGATTGTAGTACATACACTTTTTATTTAGTCAGAAAAAATCATACTCATTTACTAGGTCAGTCAGCTACAACGTAAGACCAAGCACATATATGCATCGGTCCAAGTTACCACACCTCATTAGCACAACAAAATCAACACCAAGTTAATATGCACAGTTACCTCAATGGCAGTAAAAAATCAACACTTCATATAAGGATATGATACAGGGAGAAAGAATTAACGCCGTAGAAAGTTAGTAACTTCAAGGACTGATTCTATGTTTTGGTTTGTCCGCCCCTAACTTTCTCCCGCCCATACCCAACACTAGTCGGCATTTTGCGTCGTGGAAATCGGTGTTGAGGCATACGTTATGTAGAAATTACTAATTGAAGTATATTTTCAGTAATGCGACTGGAAAATATGGGAAAAGAAATTTCCCAATGAAACAAACAAAATGCGAAACAGCGACGGAAACTGGACGACAATGGAGAAATAAAGAAAATGAAAAAAAGCCACCAACGGCGCTTTTTTGGTTGATAAGTCTTTGGTAGACTACCACTCTGAGCCACAGAACATTCTAACAAAGTTCCTAAATAAAATTCGAGTTGACCATAGTGTTTAGAAAAAGGTTAATCTAATCGAACATTATTGTGAGTAGTTTGCTAGAATTAACTGACCCAAAAACTAGATATATACATGATTTGCGAAAGGCTGGAAAATATATTTGCAGCATCTTCCCAGATGACTCTATAGGAGTTCAAACAAAAAACCCGATAAGAATGGTCAAGAGTACCGAGGAAAATGTTGAGCCCCGACCACGCAGACATTTTAGGGTAATCCTAGGACCGGAAAAACAACGAAATCTTTTCTTAACTAGCGCTCGGAGTAGAGATGACACCGACATTCGAGAAAGACCTAGCAAGTCTCTAGAAGGTAGAATAAAGGCGTCACTAGCTGGACAAGATCTTCGCTTAGTGGGTTTTAAGTAAACACTTCTTGAAAGCGAATGTTACCAAGACCTGTATGGATAAGTCGTTGTCTTTAAGAGTTTTGTCTACAAATGCTCGTAGTCTGCGACATAAATTCCATGAACTAGGAGTATTTGTGGACGGATTAAAGGCACTCATAGCAGCTTTGATCGGAACTTGGATAGTCCATGACTTTGACGTCACTCCAAGATTATTAGAATACAACTACCTGAGGAATAGATAGGAAACAGACATAAGAAAAGGGCTGGGGTCCGTAAGGATATAGCAAGTAATATAGATTTCCATCCCTTTATTTGTAAATCTCATGACAGTGGAACTTGTAAAGTCACTAGCTGTGAACTCACTTTGAAGGTTGCACATTTATACTCGGTGTCATCTATCGTAGCCCAATCTGAATAGCTGATAACTTTATTTGTGTCCTTTCACATAGCTTAAAATAGTCATCCGAATAATCTTTTTCATTAGTTTGATGGCACCTGGGAAGCATCATCGATGAACAAGGATCAGATGCAGATGTAAAGGCGAGGATTGGCAAGGCAAGGGCCACATCCCTATTATTACATAACACATGGAACCCAACTTTCAACCAAAATCAAAGTCACAATCTTCAATACGAACGTCAAAACGGTTCTACTGTACGGAGCTGAAACTTGGAGAATTACAACAACCACCATCAAGAAGGTACAAGTATTTATAATTAGTTGTCTACGCAAGATACTCAATATCCGTTGGTCAGATACCATCAGCATTAGCCTTTTGTGAGAGAGAACAAACCAGCTTCCAGCTGAAGAGGAAATTAGTAAAAGACACATATTACGTAAATCATCAAACTGCATCACGAGGCAAGCCCTAACTTGGAATCCTGAAGGGAAGAGGAAAAGTGGAAGGCCAAAAAACACATTACGTCAGGAACAAGCTGATATGAAAAGGAGGAATAACAACTGGAAAAGATTTCCTAAGGCAGGGTTGAATGGAGAGTGCTGGCGGGCGGCCTATGCTTATCCACGAGGAGTAACAGGCGTGAGTAAGCAATTAATTTGACGACTGACGGATCAGTAGTTACTAAGTCTCTGTGCTCCACCTAATACACCGGACTAATTTTTGCGTCTTTCCAGTCTCCTGACAGTCTGGACAGCCGCAGAAACATCACACAGTTTGGTCATAAGTTCAGCAATTACATCCAACAGGGCTTTCATAAACCTAGGGTGAATAGGACTACTGGACTTATCAGCTTTTTGGCATCGTCTCTTGCCAATATTAACAATTTTTCTTGTACCAAAAGTGATGTGATTCTACCACTTCTCTGAGTTCGCCTTTTTACATACGAGAGTAACCTTTTCGGACTATTTTCACAATACCTATCCAGTTGTTTTTCATATGACTGTCTCGCCTTACTTATCAACGCTTTACAAGCATTCCTAGTCCTACAATAACTAGGTCTGTACTGTTTCAAACCAGTAGAGATTAACATACTCCAGTGCTTTTCCTACGTCCAAGAAGTTAATTGACTTGTTTAGTTATCGATAGTGGACAGTTATTTAAATAACCAATTGGTCTACGTGGTACTAGGCATGGTATAAACGAGGGTTTGTTCAACAGCTTCGGACAGAAACGAGTGACTAGAATGGATCCGATACGATTGCTTATCAGTCTTACTTTTAAATTTGTTCATGTTGTTGGCCATTCAATGGTTTGCTTTTAAAGCAAAAACGAAGAAATCCGTAACCTTCTTCGTTTCGTCAATCTTCTATGTGGCTCATATACCCAACTGGTGTACTCTACAAGAAGATGGTTGAAAGCGTGTTGAACGACTCAGTTTGCGGACTTCAAGCTGTTTTATTCAATTGTACCGTCTTGTCAACCGATTTACGCGCTCAAAGTACAGACGCCAACATCCTAATACAGCGGTTAGTAAAATCGAAAAATAAATGATTCTTTAAGTCTTCGACACTGATATTGACATCACTAGTCTTACCGGACACGTACTAGCTAAATGTGCTCGGTCACGCATCCGCACCAAGTCATGAGTGGATACACAGTGCTGTAAATCTCTCACAACTACTAGCCAACTTAGACCAAACGTTTCTCGACATATCGATAGCTTTCCAAAGTTATCTTCGGATCTCCCTAGTTCTAACTTCTGATTTGAATGAGTAGGTATACCTCCATAATAAAGGTGTTGCGTGTAAAGGCGTTGTTTAATATCGAACACCTGTGGCATCTTTAGTGGCGAGTCCTACGTGAGCATGAACATTAAACAGTAAACTGTCAGTTTGTTCCTTAATGTAAAATTGCCTATAATCTTTAACTGATAATTTTGCATATAGTGATATTGTTTTATATTTAGGATACTTTTTCGCCCTTTTGTGTATCTTATCTTCATTATGACGGAATATACACCTAAGCTGTTTCAGACTAAGACTCTTTCGCCTTCCGCTTTTAAACTCAGGCAATTGTGTTGCGATAATATAAAAGCCTGGTTCTGCCATGCAGAAGCTGACTTTCACGAGCATGGTGTGCACAATTCCTAACAGTAGTATGGGCACTACCGGGCACATGATAAGCTTTAGAAACTGAACAGTCCATGAACATCTCCCTTGCACATGGTCTTTGAAAAGGACAGTAACGATTGGCGTCCAACTAGTGTTTATCGGCGACTCAATACGAAAACGGTTCCCGCTCATAACCCTCTGCCACACATCCATGACCTGGCAGCTACCTTATAAGATGCAACTGTTCTCTCGACATATAAGAATGTTCGTCTTAACTTTATCGAACAGTTTCACAGTATTTGGGCGCCGAGTTGATGTGGAACATTAAAGAGGAAGAATGTATTTGTAAAACCTCAGCAAATGAATTTAAAGTAAATACAACGTTTTGCCTGGCAATCTGGTCCAAGCTTTTTCGAGGAAATATAATCAGGCATCAAAACTATAGAATATAAATAGGTACACGGTTTTCTGATTCACTGTATTCTAAATAGGTCAATTCAATCAACGTTAACAATGTTTAAAGTAGGTAATTACTATGTCAGAGACCTGTGGTATGAAACGACAAGTGTTAAGATAACAGATATACGTAAGTGGTGAGAGAAATGTCGGTCACTATATGTAGTCTCTGGTCGGTGATTTTTTACGAAAACATACAATTTTTATATATCATATGAACCAAATATGTCACAGCATGTATAAAATGAAGATAAGTAGACAAAATAAAAGAGTGGATTCTCAAAAAGACCAAGGATTGTTTTGTGTCCAGATACATCTACGAGTGTATTTTAATATTCACTCGATAGAAAACACAATGACGGTGCAATTGCACACGAACACTTTAGATCAATATCTGACAGCTCTTGGAATTATTGCTCAAACACCACCATAATTGTGAATATATATCTGAACCTACGAACACAGACTATTCTGATAATCACAACTCATATTTTTACGTACTCGTTTTTGAGTTCTTTTAACTCGTCCTTTGTGTATGTTTTGGAGAATTGAGTCAATGTATTTTTACATTTCTATTGGTCCGTCACAATATACGTATTATCCATTCGTTAGTTATTTTTGTTTGGTTTCGTTCTGTCAACTATAGTACTGCTTTTGGTGCTATACAATTTGCGTTCCACGACAGTTCTTGTCGGACGACCGTAGTAAGTCGAGACTAAACTATATTAGTTTGACAAATCAGCGTAATGACAAACAGATTCCTTTTCTGTCTTGTCTTTATGTCGGTAAATGATTCAATGTATTATAAGCGCTCGCTGAAATAAGTTATACAATATGTAGCGGGTGATATACAGTTTGTTTATCTAATCCCGGACGAATAAACTTGGTAGGTCAATATCTGGGTCAGTATTAGGCTCATTTATCTTTGATGATAGAATATACGACTTAATCCCAAAATCATAGGTTTGTCATGATGTGACTACCAAATCTATAAGATCTTAAGTGGAAATAACATTACTGTCTATACTGGTTCGTCCTATCACGACAGTCAGTAATATTCTGTGTAGGAATTCTGAAAAATATATTTGGACTTGGAATAGAATGTATTTAGTATCTAAAAAAGAGGATGACTAGAGTGACCATGCCTGTATGGTCAAGCCATGACATACTAATTAAATATCTCACGTCGATCATTTTTGACCTTTTTTAAGTGGCGAAAGTCGAATAATAACCTTTTCAGTTGAGAACCAGTGCCACTAAAGGTTCATAGTAGGTGAATATAGCTGTTAAGACTAGTTGTTGCCAACTCACTTATAATTACAGTAGTGATCTTATTATTCTGCCATACGCAATGTAAAGAGAGATTTTAAGTCAACAAAGAGATAGAATAAGATTATGTCGATAACAGAACTTTCTAAACTCGCATTCCAAAGACGAACAAGAATGAATATGGCAGTGTGCGGAAAGAACAATGAAGGTAATAATAATTAGATGAATGTGAGTTTGACATGCTCCATAGAAATGAAAGATAGAAGTCCTATATGGGACTTATCAGGATTAGATTTAGATTCTAGCGGACTTCAAATCGCACCTACTTTTCGTTGCTATGGAGAAATAGAATGTCATTTTTCTTCTTTTTATTTAATGTAGAGATTCATCATTTTAAATTAAAAAATATAATGTTCAATTTGATGGTATGTAGATACCTTGTTATATGTCTTACATGAAGTACTGAGCTACACAGCATGTGTAAAGCTGAATTATCGGCTGTCAAAAACCCATAGGGTGATAACCAGTGTATATTTCAGATGCAGCCCAAGAAGGTTTCAAGCTAAATCTCTTGAATTAGTTCTCACTAATACCACAGTCACTCATGTTAATTACACTCTGGAATATTACATCACGTGAAAATGCAGCAGTTAGAGTGGCGATTGTCAACGAAGCAATAATGCAAAACGTTCATGTATTTGGACAACTCATTACAGCTGCAGATTATGGTATATGCTGGAAAATCTGTATCGCAACGCTTACAGTACATTACATGGATACATCAAAAAAGGTTAGATTCTTCTTGAATTGGCATTGTTTATAAAATCTGTTTTCTCTCTTGCTTCTTTAGCTTAAGTTCGCAAAATGACGGCTGAAGATGCAGATGATTATATGAAACATTACGTAAAAAAGTTAAGATAATAAATAAAAATCCTTGCGAGACACTGATTAATCCTTCCAGTATGACTTTTGGTTCGGTAGTCAAACGAATGAAATATAGAGTGATGATTTGTCGATAGACCATTCATACGAAACTATGTAAGTTTTAAATTGATAGTAAGCACATAGTTCCTAATTGATACAAGCTGCTTATCCAGTGGTTAATAAAAATGTTTTGAAACAAGGTACCCGCTACACAACACTATCAATATATAAATGGATTACAACATAATCGACAACATATGTAAATAATGTTATAAAAATCATGGCTGCGATGCACGGAATTTTACGAGACGGCGTAGATGATGAGCTTTCTAAATACGATACTTCTGAAAATGTGTAACAAGTATTACAATAGGATAAGAGCACGAATGATATATGGCAGGCACAACGGGAATAATGTTAGTCTTTAAAAGCTAACGCCGTTTGCTTCCATTTCGAACTTAAGTATACAGTTAAAAATGCGTAAATTATTCTCATTAGAATCCTTGTCTTTAGTATTTTATCCAATGTTTTCAACCTTCCTTAACTAATTGTCAAGCAACGTAATTGAACGGTAGTGATGAATTTCGAAGTCAATATACTTATTTAATAAATTGGTGTCGCAAAAATATGGTGCTTATGAACCTACATCGCGTTAGCAACCAAACTACTGATAGTTTTACAAATGAGACTTTACAAGTGTTAAGTCCGAAAGTTACATGAATTCAATTCAGTAAATAATCAAATCACATCCTGGATTCTCAATTAACAACGAGTTAAAGGAAAAATTCCAGAAGTTCAGCAAGTGGATCTCTTTTCGACGAATTTATTATCAAGCTGTGCAACAGTGTTTATATGAACAACTATAGTGGCTTAGCATCATTAATCAATTATCCTTACAACCATTATTATATTGTAGCGTGGTGTCGGGTCCCAGTTGACTATGAACACCACTACAAAAAACATGTGCCAAATAAATCAGAAGGCGAAGATTGAATGTAACCAGATTTATTCGTTGTCGATCTCGTGGTATCGAATGAATACCGAGATCGTGCCAAGAAAAGGTACAAGCGGAATCGGCAGGAGGAAGTACGTGCGAACGGGGTCACGAGCCGCGAGTAGTAGTGGAGAATAATGGAAGAGCAATATGGCTGTCTTTAGCACTGTCAAACAAACGAGCACAGTAAAACAATCATTAGTATAACTGGTTATAATAATAATTGTTTTCATTAAACTAATCGCGTTCTCTTGATAAAAGTAGGTCACTACAATATAAACCCCAACGGTGTTTAAAATCAGAAGGCAATAAGCGGAGGCAACTATAGTTTATTTGTGGGTAGCACGGATAACAAAGCTACAAGCACAGCGAGAGAATTTGAAGCGAAGAGGCGAATATGTGTATGCGAGCAATTACACAGGCAAATTTGCAGTCAAATCGAATAAAGCGCAGCAATGCAAGACAAAGGCTAATAATAAAATTCGAGTACATATACATGGAAAAGAGAATGACTCATCGAGCGATATTTATGATATTAAAATTTTTTTAAAGAGAGGCTATCACATGTGCCCAAGCATACATGTTTATACAGACAAGATAGTGGTCACAATAGTCCAAACAATATATGGACTGTTACTGTTTGAATAACATTGTCCGCTAAGCAGGTTATAAAAAGGCTTAACAAATTTTAACCATTATCGAAACTGATTGTAGGAGAGTTGCTATAGTACCTTCAGGTAA